TATTGTTATTGTTGTGTTTGAGGCGTTGAAATATTTGTAATTCAACGTTGTCCCTTTGGTTTTTAAAAACTATAATTCAACAAATTCTAGGTATCCAATGGCTGCCATAAACCATGGGATGAATGTGCCATAATTAATAGCCTGTAGCAGTGAACGTAGCAGAAGATACATGTGTGAAGGACACGAGAGTAGCTACATCTTACACTGAGTAGACATCAGTATTGACATTGTGTCTGCTCAAATAGATCAATCCCTTCTCTGCCCTAGCTTGACCACGTCATTGAGCTGATTGGAAGAACACATTGATTCCCTATGGTGTCTTCACGCAGGTTCACAAGGTTACACATTCACCACGTAAACCACAGGCTCCGCTGGCCCCTGTCAGAGATCCAAAGACGAAATATAAAAACACACTGGAATAATCTAAATATATAGTTTAAAAGGATCTTAGCTGCTGCCTATAATCCATGTGTGTCGTGCTGTGATTCATCTTAAAGAAGGCAGCAGACAGCCTCTGTGGCGTGGGCTCGTATACTGCAGGCCTGCACTTGTATAAGTGCACAACAGTCCGGCGTCAAGGGCAGGTTATGTTAGAAGGCCAGCGTTAGCCTTGGCTGCAGGGAGAGGCGGATCTGCTGCTGGTGCGGTGCTGGAGGTAGAGCTGTCTACTAGCTGTATCCAGTAAGACGCAGGCTGCAGATGGCAGATATTCTGAAAGACTGTTCACAGGTTTAAATGTATTCACCAGTTAGTTCCTGATTTTAAATAATCTAATTTAAATTACAGTATATTTACTAATTCATTTGTTACCAAACTGAAATAGCAAAAATGATGCATGATTGTATTTCAATGCAGGACAACAATTCCAGCAACCATCATCCAACTTCCCAATTTCTAATCATCAACCAATAATGTCATTAAAAAAAAATGTTGTAGTATTTTGCAGTACTTTATTTCATTCTAATATATGATAAATGTTACTTCTGATTGCCTCTGTATGTTTATTTCTGTTTTAATAGGGACAACCCAAACAGAAGAGTAAGAGTTACTTGGTTTGGCTATAACGATCCATCAGTCTGAATGGAGTCAACTGCAAATTATCCAATGTCATTTATGCAAACTCAAAACATTCATCATAATTTTTTATCTAATCTTAGTGAAACTCTCTATACTGGAATTCCAATGGTTAGTCAGTGTCATAATTCCCATTCTGTACAGATTGTGTAAAAAGGTGATACTGTTTCAAATTATTTTCAGGTCCCCGAATTGTAAATAAAACGGTTTCATGACAGATTTTATGATATCAGCGAACACAAGATCGTTCTTCATATATCTTCTAAGATGTCAAGCTGTTTGTTTTTAACCTGTGTGATTTGGAGTTTTTTTTTTATTATAATGTTAAAGAAACAGGAGGGGTATACAGTACAGTACAGACATGTTGTGTGATAATGCATTGAACAAAAACCACACCACAGATATTAAATTAATAATTTACCAGCAAAGATGGTATTGTTTATATATTAACTTAATGTTGTTTTTAGCAAACTTTAATTAACTGTTTAAGAGAAGAAAAAAAAAAATCAGATTTTATGAATATTTTGATACGTATATTGAGTATTCTCAGTTTTCTTAAAATTACGTTAATAAAATCGTAGAATATAATTTTGCTTATCGTAAATGATTGACTCAAAAACCCTGAAGCTTAATACAAATGTTCTTAACATTAAAAGTATTTCTCAACACAACTGCCCCTGGTCTACCTCATGACGGGTAATAAGGCATACTTGTAGAATGTCAATTTATACAAATATTTAAAGTAGCCAAAGTATTTGAATGTAATATTGCAATATGTTGTGAATAAATACATCTGGTCATATAGTGTGTCCACATGTGAAATCACTTGCAGAAATCCAGTAACCACTACGGTTCATCCTACAGACAATATACAGCTTCCTGCAGCATGATTGCAGAGTCATGCTATGTGACTGCATGGCCAAGACATGCTAGTCTGTATATGTGTGATGCAGCCACTCGACAATGAGGCTAATATTAGCCCATGGCTGCCCCTCACCCCCCCCCCCCCCCAACAACACACTGCTGGCAATTGCATGCAGGGGATCCCCAGGGGGCTTTTTGCTGCTCATTCATTAGGCTGCTGAGGGATAAGGGACATACATTTTCTCCCACACAAGGCTGGCGTAAAGACCATGCATCCATCTGCCGTATATGCTTTAGAAAAATCTGCAGGTTTTTCTTCTCATTACAACATCCATTAAGTTATTAAAATAAGTGGAAGAATAATGTAATGTAAAACAGAAAGAGGGACTGTCACACATTACTGTACCTAAGTACAGTGCATCAGTGGATTTCTTATGACCTCACAGTCCATGTTCAGCAATCCCATCAACACTCAATTTCCTCTTCCCTCCAGCTCTGACTAGACTGTTGTGATTATGACGGGCTTGGTTCTTCTACATTCATACCAGAGAGAGAGAGCGAAAGAGAGAGACGGAGCATCAGAGAGACAGAGAGATGGGAGGGGGGGGTTCCCGCAATGTTGGTCTCAGCAAGACCCGGGTAGCGTGCTTTCCCTCTATAATTTAATCACATTCAGCTGTCTCCCTGTCCTCGGCTCGCTCTGCAAAGCACATCAGGCACCATGGTGGCACAAACACGCACACAGTCACACACACAGACCTGGCACACCAACACAAGTCTCCCCTCCTCTAACAGGCGAGTCATTTGCTTCCTTTTTCCAGATAAAAGAACAATCCAAAGAACATGGATTCACCTCATGCCAAGCTTATCTTACATACTACATTCAATCAATTACATCTAAAAAATACAGGGTGCAAAATGAAACAACTGAGTATGAGAGCAACTCAATTATTTCATATATATGAGAATCATGACAGAATGGAATGGCTGCAGTGATGCACAAGCTGCTCTCTTATTCCAGTGTTATAATAAACAACTAATATTGGACTGAATCCTTAAAAAAACAACTTTCTATTTCAACATACTGTGAGTTGATTTGAAATCTTCTTGGCATGGGGATATGTGTTGTTACAATCCCTCACAGTATCCCCAGATGCCACAAACATTGTCTCCATCATTTGTTGACATGAGAAACATTCATTTTGACACACTTTGGGTAAGGGAAGAGTAGACACAAGTAGCTCACTTTGTGTCAGAGCTTTGTTTGTCTTGACAGAATTAAACATGTTGCAACGCATCTGCCTTCTGCTGTGTGTGTGTACAGTATACTCCACCCACGGGAGCACGGGCAGGCACAAACAACAACATCTGCATTGTCTTTTTTTCTCTTTTGTGCAAAACAAAAAATAATAATGTTTGTGTAGGATGAAATGTAAACCGAAGGGACTAGCATGTGCATGTGTGCAACTCATCCAAAGACTCTTTGAGAATTTGAAGTTGGGAAGTCAGGCTGTCTTCCAACTTCAAATTCTCTCCTTTTCACCTATCAGTTTCTTTTTCTGTCTCCGTTGTTTCCACTACTTCTAATTGTTTTCTGGCAGTCACAGCTCCTACCTTCCCCGGATACTAAATCCTCATCAATCCCATCCTCAATCCTTATCAATCTCAGAGTGACAGCAAACAAAAGACGCTGCACACACAATATATTTTCCACAAGATAAAAGCACTCAACAGAAAAGTTAAAAGGAAATAGACACATGGGAATCTAATTCATACATGGTTATAATATTAACAGTACAATTTAAACATGCATTTACTGGGTGTGAAATGTCCATTCTGCAACACAGATGAAGTTTGCAATGCAGCATTATCCACAGCAGGAGCACAAAAACTTGCGGAGAAAACTTTCCAACCCATTTTTCCATTAGGTCTCTACTTCTGCATGCAACTTTGTATAAATAAACTGCATCCACTGGCCAAACACTATTCATTTTAAGTAGGTGAAGTTATTCTAGACAGTCAGAAGCAATGGGACATAGAAAATAGCCGTACCAGTCCAGAACAATTTGACTAGAACAATAGTTGAACTACAAATCATCCCAGCCAGCGGTTACTTTTTCTCACAGCACCAGCACCTTCAGATCACTCTACTAAACCTTTCTGAACGATGAGTAACAGCAGAAAAAACAAACACTGCATATCACTGAACAGCATATAATTAAGACATTAATTGTGGATTTTCCTCCACTTAAAGTTGTAAGCAGATTTCCAGCCTCTCATATACTACCTTTGCATGACTGCTGATGAACCCTCTATCTTTAATAAATGTACGAGCAAAGAGATAAGATGCCACAAACAAGAACAAGTAACCTACCAACTGCAGTCTTCTCTTTAAACTTTTCCTCTCGCTCTCCAAAACGCGCTTCCTCTCCTTTTCTTTAACTTCTCTTCCTTTACTCTCCCACAAAAAAAAACACTCACTGTGCTCACTGCAAAGTTGTGCTCTCCTCCTGCATGCAAATCATTTTTACGACTTGAGAGATGACTGAGAATGAGGGAAGGAGGAAGAGCGAAGGGAGAAAGGATGACAGAGGGGTTGGTAGAGTAGAGATAATGGTTGGAAGGCGGGCAACCAATGGGCCTGAAGCCTAATGGAAAAAGGGAATCAGGACACACCAATGAGTCGCAGCCTGGAGAGAGAGAGCAAGGAGGAGAGAGAGAGAGAGCAGAGCGGAGCGGAGAAAACAGGCGAGGGAAGGAGGGATGGCGAGAGCACAGTCAGGAGGAGACGGTGTAACGCAGATCGAGAGAGACACTAGGGGAGAGAGAGAGAGCTCACACAGAGAGAGAGAGAGAGAGAGAGAGAGAGAGAGGGAGAGATATGAGAGCTGAATGCAGTGGGTGTGCACGGTAGGAGGAGAGAAGCATCCCAGGCGAGATGAGGAGACCGCAGATCAGAGAGAAGAACGAAAAAGACAGAAAAGCACAAAGAAAAGAGAGAAAGAAAAGCATAAAGGGGAAGGAAGGAAGGAAGGAAGGAAGGAAGGAAGAAGCTGACTTACCCGGGTACTGCTAGTGGCATCCTTCACACACCGCCTCGCAGACTCCACACACACTTGCACATGCACCCACCCCAGCGATACAGGCGCACGCCGCGCTGCCGCTGAGACTAACCAAAAGCAAAAACAACAAAGGAGAGGACTGCCAAAGCCGACTGGTATACCCTAAAGCAATCGTGTCTGTGTGTGTATATGTGTGTGTCTGTAATGGTGTGTGTGTCGGGAAGAGAGGGTGGGAGTGTGTATGAGCATGTGTTTGTGCTGGGAGGAGAGGGAGAGATGTTTGAAGGAAGCTAAAATGCTCTTTCTCCTTCCTATAAGCTGGACCGGTTTCCTTCTCCCTCTCTTTCTTTCTGTTTCTTTCTCTCTCTATCTGTGTGTCTCACTCTCTCTGTACACTGTGCATGTATGTCCTCCAACACTCAATATGTTCTCTCTCCCTCCCTTTGCTCTCCCTGCCTGCTAATGTGCCCTCCCTTCCTCTTCTCCCTCTTATACATTTATTCAGGGCTGCAGACTGTCTGCTCCCAGAGTCAGTTCTTCCCACGGGCCCCGGGTGGAGGAGGAGGGAGGGTGGGAGGGAGGGAGGCGGGGGGGGGGGAAGAGAGCGGAGGGAGAATAGAGGGAGGGATGGGGATGATAGCGAGCCATGTGGAACATGTGCAGTGCATGTATTTCAAATGGGAACGACACAAATTTGTGCCTTTTAAAAGAGGCAAAATGAGCTCCACTCGTGGCTCAGTGCACATTCTTTGGCCCGGGATCATTCAAAAAGCTGAGAAAGAAACAGGATGCAAACTTAAAGGAAGTCTCTCGCTGGCTGGCTTGCTGTTAATTAACACTTTTTCCCCCCTCGTTCCAGGCTTCAGGGCTGGCTGAGCACCAGAATTAAGAGCGCAGAAGATGAATGGGTATTGAAACAGGCTAGCTGTAGCCATGTGTTCAGTGATGAGCACTGCTCGCAAACAGGGGACAATATTTACAATACCATCATAACAGGACCATAAAGAGGGTGACATTGATGTGCACTCTTGTGTGAATGAAAATGGGGAAAAACAAGGTGATGATTTCCATACTTACCCAGATATGCAGAATGCTAATTTGCTCCCTGAGACATCGTCATAATTAGATTATAAATTAGGTTCATTTCTTACCGGACAAGAGGTGCTAATTCATTCTCTTTCCAGCAGTGGGGGAGACTCAGCTGAAACCGCAGCAGGAGCAGCAGCCACCCTATAGGCAGAGGAAAAGAATATCAGGGACTTTCATATGCTCATCTGACAGCGACAAGCAATAACATATTCAAATAAATTCATGTTTACACATAAATATTCAGAAGAGCATTCACACACTGTGGCCCATGTTGAGCTCTTCCTATCCAGCATACATGTATACGAGGTACATTGTTTTGATCTTTCCCATCACAGTAAACAAATCTAATGCCATAAAGCAGTATTTTACAGAACCAACAATCTCTGAGCTCTACAACAATGCTGCCAGGCAGTGGAGGAATAAGGCATGATAAGTACTCTGGTGGGTTGGGACACAGATGCCCTGGAGGCGCTCAATATTAGCAATTTCAAATTCTTATTTGGCTATGTTAATGCCAATCAAGAACAATTAATTTAGCCCACATTCTTAAACAAATAAACAAAGGGGGGGAACCTAAATGAGGAGAGTGCTGCGGATTTGAGGAATCATGACACATTAGGAACACTAGCAAAAAAGAAAATCTGTGTTTCAGCAGTTATTGGATTTTGATACTCACTTATGTATCGGTGTACAACCAGAAGTCCCACCATGACAGTAGTGCAAAACATACTGTCAGAACCTACATGTGCCGAGGCTTTTTTAAACAGAAAGGTGGTCTTACAATGTGAATCAGTCAGTGGTTGAAATGACAGAAGAAAACCTCTGTTGTTAAAACCAAATGGGAATTTAATGTGGCCCAATATTTTTGCGGAACATAAGAAAGACATTAAACCATGATGGCAAAATAATTGAATTTTTAAATGTATCGCACTTGAGTTGAATTCCTGATGTGTTAATTACCAATTTTGTTCTTTAACCAAAATTTTAACCCAGTTGTTTTGAGCAGCAATTAATTGTTTGGTGACACTGGAGTAACATGTGCTCTTCATGGACTCCTGTTCACCTACCAATAATTTGGTTTACGTTTACTACTACTTTGTGCTACACAGAAAGGTGTATCATTTGTTTGTTAAACATGGTGTTAACTCGCATAAAAACCTCTTTTAATCAGAGGCGCTGCTCATTAATAGGCAAGGCAGGCAACTGCTTGGGGCCCCAGACCAATAGGGGCCCCTTAAGGTCTGACGAACTTTAAACTCCAGTACAGCAGTGGCTCAAAATGTGCAAATTTACAACGACAGTGGAAACCTTGTTGCCCTGCTAAGTGTTAAATGCATTATTGCTGTTAAAACAGTAGAAAAAAGAATAGATGAAAAACAGGAGTAAGCGTCAGGAAACTGGCAGACATGATGAATACTGGTTGCCCCCCCCCCCCCCAATGAGGGCCCCAACAGACACTTGAATCTCCGCTGTTTGTAATATACAATGTCTCACAGTAGACATGTTTTCCTGTCCAACACAGGTGTAACTCATAACATTGATTGTAACTGTCTTACATGTATGTTTTTCTCAAGCTTCAGGGTTCTGCCAGTGACCCCGTTATCCCAACAAACTACTACTTTAATATTTAAACAACTGCATATACATTTATAATTATTATTTTTGTGTCGAAAGGTGTGTGACAACTAGCTTACCTGTCTTAGCTTCATTTTTTCAATGAACCTACCTAGAAAGACTTTATCATGACGTCATGGTAACTAACACTCAATTAAAATTATTTTAACATGATAAATTAACATAAACTGATGTGAAACAAAAACATGCAAAACTATTCAAAATTAATCTTTTCATTTGTTTCATACTTGTATTTTAAGTTACCTTAAAGGGAACGCTTCAGGTAACAAGCTGACTTTAAATAGGTTTATTTGACTTACCTGTTGCCTGAATCTCGTCTGGAGGAAGGTTACTCCAAAGTTTTATAACTCGTCTAAAATGTGATAATTTGCCGCACACGCAGTTTATTCCTGGAGGAAAAACTGTTATAGGTGGCTGCCGGTTCAACTTCTACTAACATATTTAGCTAAATTTAGCCAGAATGGTCAACGCTAATAAAAATAGTCTACGGAAGCCTGAGAAGGACAAGAAGGGAAAGTCTGAGTTGTGTTGATGGACAGTTCCTGGTGCTGAAACAGGCACAGAAACCAACAACGGACAATCATTTTATGCTATCCTGGAGTTAAGAGTTGTAGAGATGTAGATCAGATTGACTAGAGGGAAATTTGGAAAATAAATGCTGTAAGATATCTTTACATTTTCTTATGATCGTTTCTAAACTTAGTAGCTAAACAATATAACATTATTATTAACAATTCTCAATATTCTAGTGCATGATTTTAGGGAACTTTTTTTGAATGCTGAAAAAATGGGCTATCAAATCAAACAGGCTTTGTGATCACAACAAGAAAATAATTTATATTAACTTATATTCAGCTACGGTACACTGCAGATGTGTGCTCAGTCAGACATTATGACAAGGGGCTTTATTATAAAAACATAAACAGCCCCACTGCTGATCTTTACTCTTTTAAAGGTAGACTCCACTACAACAGAACAGAAATTAAAGATTTTAATCATATGTATTCTGTTTTATGTTTTTAGGATAAAGAGTGTTACCATGTCCGTATAAAATGAGCACAAATGTGACAAGAAATCTAACAAGTTAAAAAATATGTTCAGTATATAAGTGTCCAAAAGGGTTCCCCCGTGCACAGCCTAAACACGTTCTCAGGTGCACACCCAAACCACATGATTTTTCCCCTATGACTAGGGGCTGTTTTATCAAAAGTTAAAACATAAATAGTCCCAAAGCAGATTCTTACTCTTACAAAGGTAAACCTTCCCTGATCACTTCTCACAACATTATGATTTATTGTTGTTATATTTTTAGGATAAAGAGTGTTACCCTGTCCAATGAGCACACATTTGAAAAGACATCTGTATAACTTAAATATGTTTTAAACTGTATATGATAATTATTTTTCTTTAAAGGTCTGGCTTCTAAACACAGCTTTATTCCTTCTTGTCATATGTAACACTGCCAAATGGCAATTCTAGGAACTTCTAACAGTGTACATAATTCAGGTTTGTGTACTACTGTATGCCCACACAGTCATTTTCAGATTTCACATTCAGCAGATTACCATGCAAACAAAAAGCATTTTGACCAGAAGTTGGGTTATTTACTAATTCAAGGACTTTTATTGTGCAAACTTTGTCTGAAGATCAAAAAAAAAAAAAATGCTTTTCAGAACTGAACTGTAATTCTGAAGTTTTTTGGCCAAAAGTAAAATTGGTAGTCTATACAGTTCCCATTGTTTTAATAGCTGATGTCTGCATGTATTTATATTCAATGTACTGCAATAGCTGAACCCTTGCCTGCTGTTAGTATACAACGTTAGAGCAGCCATGTTTAGTTACGTTAAAACATTGAAAGTCTGCAGTTACCATGAAGGGAAGTCATTTCAGCATCTCTCTGTAATGTACTGCTACCTTACTAAAGTATCAATCACTGGTTATGATGCTAATCACTGTACACACAGGACAGCTGTGGAGAAATAAAGGTCCTGTTACTGCACAATTCTTTGTTTTTGTTTGTCTAAATCTGCACAAGGAGCATGATCACAAATTACCTGAAAGAAACTGACCCTTCAATATTCCAAGTCTTGTAAAATCCTATCATCTGTTCTTCTTTTTTTTGTCTGTTTAAGATTTATTTTGTGCTTTTTATGTCTTTAGTGGAGAAGTATAGGACAGCAGATAGATTTGTAAATTAAGGACAGATGGAGTGGGGAGTGACATGAGGGAAAGGAGCAACAGGTCAGATTGGAACCCAGGCCGCCTTGCTTCGAGGACAACAGCCTCGGTACATGGGGCACGCACCCTGACCACTAAGCCACCAGCGCCCCGCTGTTCATTAAATTTAAATATGAGAGGGTCTTTCACATTATGAAACTCTAAACATTCTGTCATTTGTTTTTTGAATACAATTCTGTGTAGCATAATTGATGGTGTCACTAATAGGTTAACATTTTGGCATCATTATGGAGGAATCTACTTAATTAAGTGATTTCAGCTTTGAACTTCTGCAGGTAAACTATAGATCACACATTCTTGTGCATAAGTCTTTTAGCATGACGTTTGCAGGTTAACATATTACATAATGAAACAGATGTTACTTGTCACCCACATGTATTTTGAGCGATATACATAGGAGACATAGGAAGTTTGCACACTGTACACAACAGTACAACTTCTTTCCTGAGTTACAAAAGAACATGAAGTGAGTGAATGAGTGCAGAGAGAGCAAGAGAGAAAGAGTGGAAGAAGAAGGGAAACCCAGAGCTGCGAGAGGGATGGAGGGAGCATGGGAGAAGGATGTTGTTGAGG